GAGTCTTATCTAACTGATGACAGAGGATTTTCTCTTAAAACTAATGTGGCCTTTGATGAGCCATTGGAAAGCAGTTCTTATTGGAGTAAGTATTTCTCTGAAATGTTCTGTAGTTTGTATATTCTAGAATATATGGATGGTACTTGCTTGGGAGAATTTAAAATAAGCTGCAAAGCAACAAATTGGGAACTCATAGCCCTTCAGATGTTTTTGAACTAGGTTCTGGCTGACATTGCAGCGGGACAGTTGTGACTAGCAGGAGCTCCGTGAGGCCCAGTCAATTTCTGCCTGCCTGGAGGTCCCATGGGGCCAATGTCATCCTGTAGGGGTGACGAAGAGTGGAAGGATCCTCTGTAGATTGCAAAGGACTGCACCCCCTTGCTAGATCCAGAAAAAACTTCCTGACCCACAGAGAAGAAGACAGCCATTACGGCTGAACCAAAGCTGTGACAGTTGGAATGAAGAAAGACTTCCCCTCCCTCCCTTTTAAAATTGGAATAGATGGTTCTTCTAGAATAAAAACCAGATTAATAAAGAAAATAGAGGAGTGTGGAGAAGTTGCAGGACTGAAAATAAAGAAAAAACTAAAAGACTAGTAAAAAACCTTACTGATAAACAGAAAAATAAACTGACAGGGAAGATAGATCTTCAGATAGTCAAGAAAGTGAAGTATTTAGGATTTTACCCAACAGCAAGATGTGCAACAATCAAAGACAACAACTATACAAAGATAATGCAATGAATTAAACTGGACCTGGAAAAGTGGAAAAGTTTGTAATTTTCAATGGTAGGATAAAAATGAGTATATTGCCGAAACTACTGTTCCTATTTCAAGCCACCCGATTAAATGCGAGAAAAAATATTTCGAGGAACTGAATAAAATAATTTTGAAATATATCTGGCAAGGGAAAAGAGCAAGAATAAGATTGAAAATGCTACAGGAGTCTAAAAGTAATGATGGATTTGGGTTACTGGATTGGGAGCTGTACATCCAGGCATCTGCACTTATGTGGGTGAAAGACTGGATAAACTTGAGGGTAGAAGATCATAAGTATTGGAGGGCCATGATATTCAATTAGGTTGGCACACCTTTTGGGGGTATGGAAAGAACACAACACATAGATATTTTCAAAGATATTATGTGAGGAATGCTTTATTTCTCGTATGGGACCAAGTTAAAACAAAAAATAATAGGAAAATTCAGTCTGGCTTTCCACGATGGAAGCATTGATACATCCTAATATTGTTAACTTGGAAAAAATTGTAACCTATAAAGACGTCTTAAATGAGGAAGGGGAACTTAAAATTAGACAGGAATTATAAAACCAAGGGGTGGGCTTAGCATGGTGGCTGCACTTGCAAATGCAATTGAGATATGAGAAAGATGTAAAAATATGGGTTTTTATAAAGAACCAACAACACTTGACTAGATGCTATTAGAGATAGATGAAAAATTGATAAAGAAACTATGTAATGTTTCCCTTTGCACATATGTGCTAGTCGTTCCCAACTCTAGGGGGTGATGCTCATTTCTGTTTTAAAGCCAAAGAGCCAGCACTGTCTGAAGACGTCTCTGTGATCATGTGACCAGCATGACTAAATGCTGAAGGCACATGGAATGTTGTTACCTTCCCATCAAAGGTGGTCCCTATTTTTCTCGACTTGCATTTTTACATGCTTTCGAACTGCTAGGTTGGCAGAATCTGGGACGAGAAACAGAAGCTCACTCCATTATGCGGCACTAGGGATTCAAACTGCCGAACTGCCAACCTTCCTGATCGACAAGTTCAGCATCTTAGCCACTGAGCCACCGCATCCCTTAAAAGAAACTATATAGTTACCTGTTAAGCCTCAAAATGGAAGATGAACAAATTAAAAAAACAATAACATGGGCAAAAAAAATTTTGGTTATGCGATAGAACTAGACAAATGGCAAAAACTTTTGGACAGAAAATATAAACTGACAATGGCTACTTCATATAAGGAAAACTTATACAAAATGTTCTACAGATGGCAACTGCCAGTAGCAAAGTTGTTTAAAAGACTAAAAGACTTCCTGTTTGGCGTCGCTGCAAGACAGTCATAGGGAGTGGGGCTCTGCAAACCTAGTCTGAATTCTCCTCATGGGAGGGGAGGGGCCTTAAAGGGCTAAAGTCACCTTGTAGGGGTGACGAAGAAAGGAGAGACGCCTTGCAGATCATGGAGAGTGGCAACTCTCCTGCTTCATCCAAGGCTCATTCTCCTATTCAACGAGGAAGGAGAGGCAGCTATTATGGGCGCCATGAAGCTGGGACAACTGAAGAAAGAAATATTCTGGAGTTGTGTTTGAACAGAGGACTGGAGCTGGATGAGATGATTTTCAATTTCTTTACTAGAGATTAAACCCCAAAGAAAAGAAATGCCAAAAGATAACTCTCCAAAATGTTAAAAGAGGTGAACAATTACTTAGAGAAAGATTACAGACTCGAAAGAAAATTATATCCTAAGAGAGGATGTTTTTTAAATATAGAATGACTGGATTTAAATATCTTATTGGCAACATCTTGAATGGGAATTTTGAAATGCTGGAAACATTGGGTTGATTATTGGAAAAAGTGGAAGAACTTATTTGAAGAAATCGGAACACTGTCAAATTGGGTGTCACTCTGAAATTTTTGGCAATGATGCTATCTACTGGTGAAAGAAAGGAAATACACTATATCAAGGCTGGGAAGTCCTTGAAAAAATTTCTAATACTGAATGGAGGTAAACACATCTAGAAAACTGTGTTTTGATGTATACTGTCTGATACCTATTTGTTTCACAACTAAGGAGGAAAAAATTCCAAGACTTGAAGATTGCTAAGTAGACTGGTTAACAAACACTTGGAACTATTATCGAAATCAAAGAGCTGGTTATGTGGCTGATGAAGACAAGGGAAAATCTGGAAGCAGTAAACTGACTAGTGGATGACTATAAAGAACTATAAATAATGTGTACCTTGAGGAATAACTCTGGGACTCTGGGAATAAGTCAAAATAATATGACTTATTTGACAATAAGATCAGGTGAACAAAAATATCAATAAGTGCTCCTTAATTAAGCCTTTTAGCTTTCGTGCATCACAAGAATACAACTGCTATTTACCTTTACAGTATTTACCTTTCTCAACATTGTTCCATTATTTCACAAAACCACTGCATGTTCATCATGCCATATTAAACCCTAAATCAATCAAATGCTTTGAAAATGCACTATTCCAGAAGTTTCAGTTTTCTTCTAGATAGAACCATCCATTCTTTCAAAACAAAAATCCCTGTCCTTAACCGGTCCTTATTTTGGAGTAATTACAAAAAAGTTAATGTTACAATTAATGGTTAAAAAAAAATTATACATGAAGTACATGGGACAACTAAGAACATGGAGAATGGGGTGTATCTTAACATTTATTCCAAGCAGTGGAATATATATATATATATATTGAAACTATTTTTTGTAATTAAAGAGACAGCGGTTTTCCTTGCCAGAAGAACTCTTGCCTAATGTTTAAAAAAAGAGTGCCGGAAACAGCCTTTACTGTAATATTAAAGGGAAATTACTATAGGTCAAAAAACATGCAACATTACTGGAACATGAAAGATAGGATAAGATGCTACCTGATTGTGGGCACCTGATAAAGAGATACTGGAAGAATGATCAGCTAGCAATTCTTTGTTCTTATTCTTGGTGAAAGGACTGATAGAACCCACCTGTCACTTTAACAGGTATATATAAGGAAAGATAGATAGTACCGGAGGTCTGCACCAACATCACAAATATTAGCTAGATCTTTCTGTTAGATGCAGCTGGTTAACAAAGTTTATAGAGACCAATAATGGTAACAAACCTTTGTTAGCTAAATATTTCTCAAGCATTTAATGTGTTGTGTTATGTTATGTCACAGCAGTCACATCTTCATACCGAAGAAGTGAGGCAAGGTCCAAGTAATACTATTTCCTCTATAATACTGCTATATGCATGCACCAGTTCTAGTTGCAAGAACCTTGTTCTTTGCCCCACCTCTCTCCTCTCAATAGGTGCATGGAATGAGTAACGGATACTACTCTGCCATTGTGGCCACCAAAGTGCAGCAGTAAACTTGTGCACATTGTGCACATCCACTACGTTTATATTTACAATTGAGAAAATGCTTTTAAAACAAAGCCCCAAAGCAGAGGAAATGGCCAAGCCCAGCCTACTCCACTGTCATTTATCCTTAGGGATGAAAGGAACCAGTTGACCCAATTGGACTAGGTTTTTTTTCCTGCTGCAAGAGAAATGCTGCAACTCCTCTGGATAGTGGTAGCAACAATCATTTGGAGATTGTTTTCCTAACTTTAACCACATATATCAAAGATTGAACCCAGGACATTCAACGTTTACAGTACTCTGGTGTAGAACACTATACCAGCCTGCTACCAGATATCTCTACATTCTCTCTTCAGTTGTCAGTATGGTTACCTACCTAAATGTTTATGTGGTTTCATTTAAATAATAAAAACCATTGCAGTCAAGAATAGAGATAATATTCACTTTGCCAGATTATTTTCCCCCATCTGACCTCTGTTCTGGTAATCCCAACCTATCTGGATTAATTCAGGGTCATCAAGTCAATGTCAACTATTAATTACCACACTGACAGACCTTTTGGAGGGACCCAAATTGGAAATGCTGGACAAGGCTGTATGTCTTCCCCTTAGATCATTTTTTTCTAAAGCAGGAAGCATTTGTTGATTCCAAAATTATTTCAGTCTGAAAAATTGGATCTTTTGAGACCCATGAAAGTCTCCATGCTCTTTTGCCATGTATAGCTATTTCCTTCTCAAGTAAGGGTGGAAGGAGGAATTATTTAGGCAACAATCCCAGAAGGCTATATCTACTGAGCAGAGATTTCATTCAAAGACGATCCATTTAGTCAAAAGAAAAATGTTCTTTTCATAAGCCTATACTAAGTACAAAGCTTTTCCACTACAAAGGGTAGCAGTTAAATAGAGTGTGACACTTTCAAGCAAAGAAAAAGGACACCGTTTTAAAAATCTTTCTATCTGTAAAATTGTTTCCGTGATCAACAATTAGCATAACAGGGAGATACGTAGTTTTTCTTGGCTTGCTGTTTTATTCTTTGCTGTGTTTGTTTTCTATTAAAGGGGGAGGCTGTTTTTTCACGCCATAAGCAATGTTTAAAAAATTATGCCATCTCAGGACTCTGATTAATGCTTATATTTTGCTATATAAATTGCGGAAATATAGCAGTTTTCTTTACTATTTAGTGATCATGGGATTAAGTTTAGCAAGTTATAGACATTTAGTTGCACTTTCTCTGTCTCAAGTAACTATTCAAATAAATGGCTAAAAATTCAATTAGCTTAGAAATATAAGGTTGTGGTACATTAGAAGTTCATGTTCCTGCTACTCTTAATGGCTTATGAGATTAATATGTATGTTATGCAAGCTTAAAAACAGCATTTAATCCCTTTCCAACATATACAGTTCAAATCATGACGGCTTCTGATATATTTACATTATCATCAGGAGTTGAAATCAACTCAAGAGTCTTTTAACGTTTTGTGAACTACAATATGCAACTTGTCTGCTGAAAGCAGGTCGAAAGACAGAATTCAATAAGAAACAATTTTTGTCTTTGGAGCCAATATTGTAATACTGACGGTTGCAAAATATATAGGATATTCAAGAAAACAATATTCAGAGATATTTCATCTCTGAACATAATGGATACTTTGGCATTAGCAACCATCTCCCTCTTATTAGGAACTGGTGTATTTGATTCTAGGCCAGTGTGAAGGCCTGACAATATTATCTCATTTTTTAAGAAACAAAATACTGCATATTGGGACATATATGTTAACATTTAATCCATACAAATAACTTTAATTTATCTTTACACTATTTTCCTCATAGAAAAACTCTTTTTTTTCCATTCTTCAAAACTGCAGCTTCGAATTTCTAAACACATCACAGTTCCCTAATAAACAATCCCCTATTTTTCTCTGTAGCTTTTGAATCTTTGCATTGCTGCTTCCCATGGAATCCTGTCTACACAGGAAGAGGAATGGCCCTAAGTCTACAATCCTCATCCGTGACAGATTTCATGAAAACATTCCTCTACCTGCCTCCACACAATATGATGGTGATATAAAGGTGACCAAAGTTACAACACCACTTTTTAAAAACTTTCAACTGCACAGTTTCCAGTACACCTTCTGTATCCCCCAGAACCACTCAGAGTAGGCACAGTAAAAGGCACCTTTCTATGAAGAGGTTGAGGCTTTGGGAGGAGGGGGAACACACTAATGAGGGCCTAAATAGGACCCTAGAATCTGGCAAAGGCTTTAATATAGCCTTACTTCACACCAAACCTTGTGTCACTGCCATTTTTTTTCTGCATTGCTTAGCTTGTTTAAACATGCCTTCAGTCCCCAGAAAATTGAGCTTTAAAGGAACAACCAGAAATCAGGTTTGGAGAAGTATAAAGGACGGGGTAAATATGAACTGGATTAAATATGTTTAAAAATCTGCTTTAAGAAGAACTAAATATAAAATACCAAATCCAAAAGGCCTCTTTCTTCCTCTGCATTCAGAAGAGTGTTGTTTCCAGGAGAGAGCTGACTGATCAGGGAGAGTCACAGCTTACATCCTGTCTCTGTGAAACATAGCAAAAAAGATATATTGCCCATTCCAAGTTGCTTGCCATCCTGGCACTGCTTCCCAACTGTCTTTCACAGTCTGAAGTGCAGATCTTGAGGTAGGTGACTTTAGAGCTAGTGGTGCAAGAAGACGTTATGAGACCAGCTCCCCATGCACACGGAAACGGTAAATGCAGGTGTATTCTGGATGGCCCCAGTTGCTGAGAACTCTTAGCTCCACCAGCTGGAAGGCTGCCTCTTTGTCTATATCCTGAGGATGGGAAAACAAAAGAAAAGGCTGACTTTTAAAAATGTGACCCACATAGAATGCTGGAGGATTGCTCCTTCAGCTTGGCCTAGTTTAGTTCAAACATGCATTTACTGCCTGGAGAACAGTAACATGTCTCTGATCAGTTAAAACAGCAATATGTCACTTTTTCAGCCATGGGCTTTATTTTTCTCCCTGGAGATGCTAAAATATATATTTGGTTACAAAGTAAAGCGTGCATTTTGGGGGGTATGATTTACCTTAAGGGAAAAAGTGGGTGCCATAAGTTCTTAAATGTTTGGTGCACACATTTTTAATTTTTTTTTAAAAATGTTGAAAATCGATTGTGCAGTCTGGGAGTGTTGGGAGCCACAAATTAAAGGCAAGATGCAAGGTACATGCATTCAAATGTATAAATAAAGTTTTTAAAGATGCCTCTACCAACAACCAATAGGAAAGACCTCAAACATGATTTTAATTTGTTTCTATCATCTATAGAAATATAATGCCTAATTCAGCATCACTATCAGAACTCTACAAGCATTGACAAAAGGGTACAACCTGCCTTCCTTCTTTCCCAACCTGTGCAGACCAGATAACTTGAACTATAAATCTTCATCACTGTCCTAAATAGAGAAAGTGGGGGATCTAATCTTTCACATATGAAGAGCACTGGGTTGGGGAAAGCTTTAAAGTCCATTTCTTTGACCAGGAGATATTAGCATATGGGGCAGAATGATCAATTTCTTCACTGTATTATAATTTATTTCATAGCCAGATGTTCAGACTGTATTTGATATTTTATCCTTTTATCAAATCCTTCCCAAGGACCAGGGACAGGCAGATATGGATGTTTGATTGTGTTAATGATTATTATTATTATTGTTTTAGTAGGAGCAGACTCTTGGGCTATGTCCCTTAAAATGTTAGGAAAATCCACCTGCTGCCTCCATAATGGCTAATCCTTGGGTAATTCTGGAGGTAATAACACAGTGAGACCCAAACAGTTATACTTAAACTACTATTATAATCCCTATATTTTATTGTTTGAAACTTATTTCACAAACAGGCTCTTTATTTGGGCCAGGCTGTATAAATAAAAGATACACTAGTAGGCTTTATTCACAAACCCATTCAGTACTGAATAAGAACAGCAAATAAGGTCCAGTTTTCCTGCAGGCTCTGAAGCCCTTGGTCTACCATCACCCCCATTTCTTGTCCTTTTTCTTACCTGAAAGTGAAATGTTTGGATAGGATTCCCATCTTGATTGTATGTGAACTTCCCAAGGAGGATGCCCTCTTGATGCCCTTCTTCCTCTAAGCCCTGAGCAAACAAGTGAGAATGGGGATAGGAAAGGAGAGAGCTGAAGCCTTGAGGAGTTTAGAAAAATCATGATGAGAGATGCAGGCAAGGGAGGCTCATAGCCACTTGTGTAGCTGTGAGCCAAAATAAAACGCACAAGTGGCAAGGGACATACAGGTAGTCCTCAACTTGCAAGAGTTTGTTTAGTAAAAGTGACAGGATGATTTTTCAAACTTATGACCATTGCAGCATCCCCGTGGTCAATGATTTACATTTGGATCTTGGTGGGATTCAGCCAGTTCGTACCACTTCGGGAGAACTGGTTGCTAAGCTTCTGAGCAGTTTGGAGAACTGGTTGTTGAAAGAAATCATTAGGGCAGAGAACCGGTTGTTAAATTATTTGAATCCCACCACTGCATTTATGGAAGTTGCAGTGTCCCAGTATCATGTGATCCACTTAACAACCATGTTATAATTTAAGAACTGCAATGATTCACTTAACAAATGTGGTGAGAAAAGTCATAAAATGGGGCAAAACTCACTTAACAAATTTCTCACTTAGTAACATAAATTTTGGACTCAGTTGTGACTGTAAGTTGAAGACTACTTGTATAGAACCAACAGCAAAAAGAGGTCTGATCATTATAAACATATAATTGATGGATGACATTACATTTATTTCTCTTTTACTTTATTGTATTTATATTTTATATTGTTTTATTGTATTAAATTTTTATTTTATTTTGGCTTTTAGTTAATAAATATAAATTAGTCTAAACAGTTATGGGTTGTGTTTTCCCTGTGATTGGAGGAAAATCTGCCTTTTACCAGGACAAGGTCACTATAATTTGCTCTTTCCTGCTCTGTTGCCAGACTTACAAAGACTTCAATGTCCTTGGGGGCACTGGGAATGGTTCCACTGGGGGAAAGCGATTTGGAGATATGCTCTAACGTCACAGCAGTGGGATGGATCCTGCTTGAAAGGCGGATGACAGCAAAACCTTGGGAGCCTTGGAAAGCCCAACAATTTCCAGGATAGACATCTGGCTGTATCAAATAAGGCAAACAAGAATGTTAGGTAAAAGGAATAAATCCTTGAATGTAGATTTATTTCTCTCAAGGCACAAGAATACTCTATTCAACCAAAAGAAAGAATATCACAAACCCTGGGCAGTCTTTTGACAGAAATTCACAGATTAACCTTATGAAATCACCATCTTATTCAAAATAAAAACTGGAAATGTAAAAGAATTTTAGCAAAAATTCCTCTAGAAGCATGTTTGGAGCTTTGCTCCCAGTGAAATAATAGGACAACATCCAACTAAGTTTATCATTCCCTAAATGTTTTTTTTTAAACCCAGGGAATTATTCTGTCTCTATCTTTATCAGGCAAAGGACCTCTTCCAACTTTCTTTAGTTTATAAATAACACACTGCAGAGAAGCTTCTTCCCTTCTTGAATGAACTAGGTGACAAAGTAACTATAAATATCTCATAGTGATTACAATAAATGATAGAGAAAGGAAGAAACATTCTCCTTGTTTCAAAAACTTGTCTGCCCCATATTGGAGCAAAAGCCACAGGAAGTAAACTGGGTGACAAATAGGAGACATAAGCAAAATGCTCTGGAGTGAAAATAAAGACAGTGGTTCTATTGTTCCTTTGAAAATGAACCCATACCTGTAGAATGATTCTTGGAGACTGGGACTGATACCACAATGGTATGCCAAAAAGGCTAAGAAGTGCAGTCTTGGTTTCGTAGGTTTCTGAACACCGGGTGCTGACAACACTGGCTCCTATAATCAAAGTGAATTGATGAAGGTAAGTTGTGCACCATGCTAATCCCCAAATCATTCTGTAAATGAGGAACTAGAAATCTGGTATTAGACTATTAGAACATGTTAGTATACTTCATTCTTGGCAAAAAAGATTTTTTGCAGAGAATGAACCTGTAAGAAAAAGTTGCCAGCTTTTGTGAAGCAATAAGCCTAAAAATGCAGCACACTTTATGTTGTAACGTTAGAGAAAGAGGTTACAATATGATTGTACTTAGAAGTTCTGTGAAGAATATTAGAAGCTACTTCTACTTTCTTCCATTTTCTTGAACTTTTAGCTTCTTCTGTTATTTCTCCCTTTTCATTGTGTTTTAATTTAGTTGAATTAGTTATTATTCAAAACACACAAAAACACACCAAATAACGCATCCCCCCCCCCCAAATGTTTAAACTTATAGATGAAACTGACCAAAATAATTCTGGTTTCTTGATATGGAAATTTGTTTGTGTGGGTTTTTTTTTGGGGGGGGGGGTATAACCTACCTCCAGATTCAAGTGCATAATCAACCATTCCAATGCGATCTTCACTGTAGCGCTTCAGGGCATCATTCACAATATGATGAACTTGCTGAAACAAGACAGCAAGATTGAATATAAGAATATTTAAAGGGATACAACTTAAAAAGGGTCACATTATCTCAGGGTGATTTACCTGAGGGATCACATGAGAGCTGGAGTTGGAGCACACAAAGTGATGGGACACCTATTCTCTGTTCTCACTCTTCCAAGAAACAAGCTTCTTATAAACATCTGAAATCATCTATTTTTGTTTGTATATAGTGTAAAGGGAACTGAAATTAAGCTGAGAGATATAAAGACTGTGCATCCCTGTGCTAACAGCCAGAAAATGCTTCACAAGTGTTGCCCTTCCATAGGGTGAGAAATAAGGAAAGAAGGCTATCCTCTCAACTTTGTGGCTTCAAGCCTGGTCAGGATAGCGTTTCAGCAAAGTTGTCAAAACCTTTTGATATCAAGGTAAGGGGCATATATCTCTATTTCTCCTCTACAGAAGCCAATAAAACTGATGATGGAACAGCCTTCTTCATGCATCTGAGGTTAGTTTAAGGACACAGGGAAGGCTGTATAAAATGTATTGTCTATCTGCAATAAATGGGAAGAGTAAAGAGGTCAAGAGAAAAAAATATATAAGGCTAACATCCCTCTCCCTGTTGCCCAAGGTGTTTGTCCAAATTCTGTAGGATGAGTTTTCAGAATCTATTTATGACTAATAGCAGAATGCCACAAAACGGTAGTTTAGAGCCGTGGTGGTGCAATGGTTAGAATGCAGTACTGTAGGCTAATTCTGCTGATTGCTGACTGCCAGCAGTTTGGCAGTTTGATTCTCACTAGCTCTACGTTGACTCAGCCTTCCATCTTTCCAAGATCAGTAAAATGAGGACCCAGATTGTTGGGAGCAATATGTTGACTCTGTAAACTGCTTAGAGAAGGCTGTATAAGTGCTATTGCTAAGTGCTATTAATTCTGGAACTCTGGAACCTATTCAAATAAAAACAGTGCAATTAATGCACATGTAAATCACAGAGCAGGTCTTACAATCTAGATTTGGACAAGAACATCTCATATAAACATCCATTTATTCAGTAGATATTAAATGATGATTCTCTTAGATCTACTGGAAAGACATCCTCATACCTCCTCAGTCACTCCTGTAATTCCTTCTTTATGAAGAGTGACTCCAACATCCTGCACAGACAGTTCTTGGTCCTTCAAGATCTTGGCAAGGATCTTGTGCTCCAATTGGCGTAGCTGCTCTTGTAATTCTTCATGCTGGACAAAAGGTTTTCCAGTTTTATCCTCTCTAGATCGGGACAGGAATTGGCTAAACCATGTTGGAAACTGAATTTCCACCTAAATCATTAAGAGAAGAACAAATTTGATAAACATCTTATTCCTCCATCCTCACTCTTCATATCATGTCTGGTTTTATATCAAATGAGATAGACAGTGTATTGCCTATTTCAGAAGACCTTTTGAATTATTGTGGTCTTTTTAAAGAACAGATCTTCCTTAATCTGATACCTTCTTAAATGTGTTTAATCTCATCATCTATAGGAAATGTTTTTGTTGGCTAGGGATGTTGTCATGGATGGATCACTTTTTGATCATTTTTACAGTGATGCCTGCTATAACTCACTGCAGATTAGTTAATATGGTCTAAAACCTAACTCTAGAAAGTTTACTAAATTTACTTGAGGAATTTCCTGCCTTTTCTGTATTACTGTTGAAGACCTGGCTGATCTACAAAACGTGGAGATGGTCTGTTCAATTTATACTAGTGCTCCCAAATAACATCTTCCTTCCAATAAAGTTTAAGTGGCACCTTGAATCACCAGAGAGGGAAGAGAAATGGAGCAGACAATTAGAGGGCAGGACCACAAGTGGAAGAATCTTTGGAACAAATTGATTTAAAAGTGGGAACATTGGGAAACTCACATCTTCTCGCATTTCCTTGATCTGCCCTGGAAGAGATTCCACTTGTCTTGACAATGCCTTCTGATTAGAACCTAAAGTCCCAAGTTCATTTTTCAGACTTGATAAATGGTCCTCCAGTTTATCTATTTCCTTTCGGAAAGTATTCATTAGGTCTTCTTTTATGGAGCTTTGAAAGAGGAAAAAACAGAACAAATGTTAAGGTGCTACTTATAATCCAATGCAAATAAAAGGTATTTATCCACTTTTTTTCAACTGTGTTTATCAAAAGCTAGTTTAAGGGTATGAACTTTTAAATGTTTTAATCCTCAAATTATGAACAGTTATCCAAACTGTGCATTTAATCTTTAATAATAATATCCTACACAGTTTCATAGTAAATGAAATTCTTGGACAATCTCATATCATAGCAAGGCAACTTTGGAAAAAACCCAATTTAAGCTTTGCTAATGAGTTTTATGTCAGCTGCCTTGTGAGCTCTTGTTTATTAAACAGCAAAGCAAAAATGTTTTAAGTAAATACACATAAAGGGTATCTAGCTTTTTGTGGATGGGCAATCAGTATCTTCCATAGGGTATTGAACCCCAGCTCCCAGGAATACTGCTTGGAGGGTTAACAATCCTGTAATTCAACAATGTACAGAGAAGAATGTAGATACAAAATATGAGCAATCCCCAATTTACTAAAATCATATTTGGCTATGAACACATTTTTTTTGCAAAGAATTGGAAGACATAGTTCTCTTTTAAAAAAATCTAAATTTTCATATACTATTTTATTGCATGTGTATTCTTACAGTACTGCTTAGTAAACATAGCACAGAAACAACAGTGTCCTGCTCAGATGAGATAGAAATGTTCTTGCTTATTGTGCCTTCTTGAAATGACCTGAAGTATGGTAACAGCACAGGCAGAAAAGTTAAGTCAAACCTCAATTAAAATAATCACCTAATAATCATTATCATAAATAGTTCTGGTAGAAATGCACTGAATGTTATAAGTGCTAAAATGCTTTTTTAGAATAATAATTCCTGCAAGGTGTAAAAATATTCCGTGACTCCTTTGTTCCTTTTCACCAGAAATAGGAATATGATTTGCTCATTGCACTCAAATTACCTTTGCCACTGAGCTGTTTTCTCAAGTGTCTGGGCCTCCACCTGCTGTGGGAGAAACTCTAGTCAGCATAGGCAAGATTTTGTATCAGTTATAAGCGTTGAAGTTTCTTAGAAATCTTAGGCAAATGATTAAAAGCTAAAATGAAACAAAACAAAAAAGGGTAAAAAAGAAAAAGAAAGTGGGGGGAGGTATGGTTGATCTCTGAGCTACTTTTACACCAGTTCATGTTCCTAAATTGCTTGTAGGATAGCTTCCTGACATGTACACCTGTTAGATATAGGTTATCAAATGTAGGTTATTGTTGCATTTGGGATTTCCCAAAGCTGGCTAAGAAAAAGAGAGCAAATGCTAGTAACCCACTCAAGTAAAGGGATTTAGGCTAAACCAGGAATAGACAAACCGACGCTTTCGCACCTCAAGACTATGAGTCCCATCTCCATATTGTATAATCGCCAGAGCAACCTCCTGCTATAATGGTTGAACATTTGCACTATATTTCCCCACCATTTTGAAGCAGAAAAAAAAGAAACTGTAGTTAACCTCTAAATGTAGGTTGAAAAAGCAACTACGATGCTTACTAAAAGAGAGAAAATCATCAGTCCTCCACAAGTGTGTCATGAGTACTGACTTTGCTTCAAACTCACTGCAGTCCTTCCAATTCCCCCAACCACCAAACTCCCCAAATTTTGGGACAGCACAGAGAGACTGAATTTAAGTTACCATTCGTTTTGGACCATTGCCCTTAATAACAGCTAACTATTTGTATAAATGGAAGTTTTTTTAAAAGGACTAAGTCTGCTAAAATTCAGGTACATAGGATAAGATACATATGTCTCACATTTAAATGGGAACATTTAACTGATCATGCCCAATAGTGTTGCCAAATGTTTCAAAAAGTTCTGAAAAACACCTCTGAAATATTGACATGTTACATGCATAAACTCTTCAGAGTAAAACAGGCTTTGTCATACCATTACATCATGTCCATTTTATTACAAATGCTACACAAGTCCTACCTCAGAAGTCTGAGAGACTTTCTTTAGGAGATTGTCAAAATCCTTCTGCACCTGGGATTGGAAAGCATCCAATTTATCCTAAATGAAAAGAAAAAAAGGAACACAAAAATTAATGAATGGGGAAAATGCTGATTAAAAAAGTAAAGGTATCCTTTAAATTGAAGCAGAGTTTTAAATTTTACTTGTTTCAAATTTCTTTAACATATAAAAATGAATTCAGCTCAAAGATGTAATTATAAAGAGCAATCCTCTCTTCTGTTCATCTAGACTCCAACTTTTTTACATTACTGTACATAGTTCTTATGCCAAAAAACAGCAATATTTTCAGATACCAGAAGCCTGTTGACAAACACATTTTATGAAATGGTGGCAATCTCATTCTGAGTTCTTATGAGATTTCAGGTAATATCAGCGCGATCTTAGCATTTCTTTATCTTGTGAAATTTTTGTCAAGTTTATTAAATGTTGAGGTTCTGTGAATGCAAAATGTAGTGGCCCAAGTGCTCACCAGTGGTAGTTGGTAGGATTACATTATAATTACATTCTGGGCCCTGCATTGGCTCCCATTAGCTTCCAAGTACAATTTCAAACTCTAGGTGTAACCTATAAAGACCTTCAAGTTACTTGCAGGACTGAATCTCTCCCCTAAAATTGGCCCAACCATTTCGATTATGCCACAAGAAACAACTAATTGTTCACCATTTTGTGAAAGTCAATGGGGCTGAAGGTCGGAAGCATTTTTGCTGGTGGGGCCAGCCTTCTGGTATGACCTTTTGTTGGTGTCAACTCGCGAAGCTTTCCTGACCTGGTCCCGAGTTGCCATAGGCAGGGGGTTGGGGAATCACAACTCACAGCTGCATTGAGGAATTCATACCTCGATCAAAACAAAACACATCCTAGCCGGCTGAAGTCAAGGCCATCTCCACAGAGACCCAATGGCCAGAGGTAGTAACTTCTATGACCTGTGAAATTGCTTCATTGGGGAATGTGACTGATGACGCACTTGGGGGTGGGGGTGGGGGAACAGGGTCAGAGGCAAGGCATGAATTGAGTGAAATCAGAACTGGCTTCACTTAGTCCTTGCCAACATGGTGCTCCTAATAAACAATTGGATTTTTCTTCAAACTTTGCTTGAGGCTCCTGCTTTTATTAGACATCGGTCAGAACCCTGACAGTTGGAGGTTTCTTTACTGTAGCTCTGATGCTGTTCACTTTCCAGAAGTTGAGGATGGAATTCGTCCAGAGGGTATTTGAACCATCTCATCACTTAGTGGTTGCTAGTGGTTTAGGTATTTTAGGTATTTGCTTTTTTTGTATTATATACCTTATATTTTATTTTATGGTAAACTACCAAGAGTCTGTTTAGAATAGATTATGGTAGAATAGAACTGCCATGTCTGATAAGCTTCTAGTTAGAGTCCCAATACATAGTTTGAGATTGGAAATTAACATTCTTTGAGCAATTAGTGGCTCTAGTTCACAATAATTCAAGTTTTTACAGTGCACCTTTCCTTTAGTCCCAACTGGCCTCCTTGCTCCCTGACCTGGAGACGAAGATCTATGTCTGAGCCAAGCTTCTCTCTCATGGCTGCCTCTTTCTGAGTCATCAGCCCATCCAGGAACACCAGGGTATCCTCATGAGACAGGGTGGCACCTTCTGTGTTCTTTCTTTTCTGGAATTCTAGCATAGAAGCTGCAGTTTCCAGGGTCTCAAAACGTCTTTCCAGTGCCTGGAGACGAGACAAAGCCTGTTGCTGGGCCTTTTAATCAAGAGACAAAATGAAAGAAAAAAATAATGAAGTTTCATCCAGAGTTTAATAATCTCCAGATCAGAATTGTGCAGGATGTTATGTATGAACTGCAGCCAATAAAAAAAGTAGAAACCTGGATCACTTGTGGACTAAAGTGAAAGGAATAATTTCTTTGCTCATTACATTGGTTTCCAGGTTGCTCCAATATGTAACACAAAGACCTGGTATAATTTCCATGATTCACTTTAATTATTGATTGTTATATTATATTAATATTTATGTTGAGATGTATAGAGATATTTACAGTATTTCACATCACACCCCCTCCCACCACCGGTGGCATTTTCTGGATTCCAGTGTCTGTGTTCAGTTACTTGAGCCCTTATCATCTACATTAGGACTACTGCAATATGCTCTACATGGGGCTACCATTGAAGAGCATTTGGAAAATGCAAGTGGTGCAGAGTATGATAGTGTGGGTAGTTCTTGGGCCCCTAAGATGGCTTATGTTACATCACTGCTCTGTGAGCTGCATTGGCTGCTTATTTGCTTCTGAGTACTCTTCGGGGTTTGGTTATTACCTTTAAAATCCCTGAATGGCACAGGACCAGGTTACTTCATGAACCATCTCATCCCAATGGACTTCCCTGCCCATCCATGCTGCGGGCCCATCAATCAGGGAATTTCAGCTGGCATGGTTCAGGAGAGGTGCCTTCTCTATTGTGGCTCTTGCCCTTTGGACCATCCTGCCCCCTGAGGTGAGATCAGCTCCCATCTGACCTTTCGTTAGGGCTTGAAGACCTGGCTCTGCCAGTTGACTTGGGGACCCAACAGGAGAGCATCACACTGGAAGTGGTTGATGAATTAAGAATCGCCTCTCCCCTCCCTCCACTCATTCTGCTCCCTCCCCATAACTGTAAATTTTCTTTGGATTGTAATTCTATTTTTATTGCTTTTAGAAATATTTATATTTTATGGTTTTATGGCTTTTAATGTTGCAAGCTGCTCAGAGTCACTTTAAAATGAGATGGGCAGCAAACAATACAATACAATACAACACAACACAATAGCAGAGTTGGAAGGGACCTTGGAGGTCTTCTAGTCCAACCCCCTGCCTAGGCAGGAAACCCTATACCATTTCTGACAAATGGCTATCCAACATCTTCTTAAAGACTTCCAGTGTTGGGGCATTCACAACTTCTGGAGGCAAGATGTTCCACTGATTAATTGTTCTAACTGTCAGGAAATTTCTCCTCAGTTCTAAGTTGCTTCACTCCTTGATTAATTTTCACCCATTGCTTCTTTTTCTACCTTCAGGTGCCTTGGAGAATAGTTTGACTTCCTCTTCTTTGTGATGACCCCTGAAATATTGGGGACTGATACTGCTATCATGTCTCCCCTAGTCCTTCTTTTCATTAAACAAATGTGATTACAAACCAATTAAGAGCTAAATTCCTCCCTGATTTATACATATTCTTGTTTGATATTTATATCATACTGCACATTGCTATTGCTTATTGAAGATGCATTAAATAGTTAACATTTGCGGAATATCCTTCTAGATCAAATCAGTATTTTAAATTGTAAATAGAAGGATTTGAAGCTGAGGTTATATTCCTTGCCTAAGACCGTGTACTAAGTCCTTGTCAAAAACAATATTCAAACTAGGGCCCTCCTAATTCAATTTTTTTTGCCATGACATACTACCTTTCAGTCTGAAAGAATCTACCAAAATAACATTAAGCTGGTTAAGTGTCTGTGCTACATTTATGACATGAAGAAATCCTGGTGATTCCTCTTAAAACACTGTGTAATTCTCAGCAAATATGAGAATTTTGCAATAGGTGATATCCAACATGAATATTCTCTATAAACACCCCTCTAAATCCACATAATACACACCTCAGAAAATACAGCAGTCTCTCCCATTTCTTGGTCCTTCTTGGTGCCAGAGGGAAATAATTTCACTGTTCCCCAAGAAAACATAGAAGGTTGAAGCCCAAAGGGATAAAAATACCATGCACCTAAAATAATTAGAAAAGAAGAATAATCAAATTAAAAAATGAGAAATGATAATTGCAGAGTATATTCCAGAAGATTATAAATATGACAGCTGGCAGATTGCTTTCAATGAAACTCAAGATATTGACAAACGTAATTCTAGAGTTCAGTGTTACATTCTGTATTTTTAAGTTCTCATTTGTTTTTAGGACCATACCCTCAGGAAGTTTACACACAAAGTTATATTTCTAGAAGAGAATAGTTAGAAAAAGGTCAGATACTGAAAGAACTAATACTGTTATCAGCAACATCATAAAGTTCCTTTTATTATCATATTGCTGATACATGCTGGCTGGGGAATTCTGGGAGTTGAAGTTGCCGAGGCTGAGAAACACCGCTATATGGATGTAATTCTTAAAAGCATTTTTTTAAAATTATATTTATATTTTTCTGGTCTTCCAAGCAAAGTGATTCTAGCCATTAGGTGTAGCTCTTCAGCAGTTATTATGGATATTGTCTGATCAAATGGAGCTGTGGTTGCAATTGGAAAGAAGATATAACATAGAAGGAAGCAGCCATAGTGTACAAACCCTAAAAAAAGTGATACCTTCAATAGTGTTAGCACCAACCACACTGGGAAGCAAAGCTCTGAACTCTGAGCCCTCCTCAGTTCAGCTTCCAGTTGTATCAGAGAAACACCAAAGCCCTATAATTCTTAAGAAATGGCTCCGGAATTCCTCTCACAACTATTCCTAGCTGGATTGTGAGACTCATTCCCACATGTCTCTCTCAAAGAAGCCAGCAATTAAAAAAGGGCTAATATTTTAAAAGTCACTAGATAGAATGAAGATATAATAAGACCCTGACAATTGATTCATATTATTGCACAGTAGCATTAGTTTCAGCATTGTTAACTATATTTCTAAAGCCAAGGCAAGAATCTCTTAAGTGCTTATCTGGAAGAGTGGCAAGGTTTTGGACTCACTCGATTCCAGACCTGTACCAATAAACATTTTTATCACATTTTGTTTGGGACAAGTCACTGCTTGAGTGGAATGCTTTCCTGAGACAAGAAGTGTACATGGGGGAGGAAAGACTCCCCCAATTCTTCCTAGTCGCTGTTTTCCTAATTAAAATTTTCTAGCTGAGTTTATCTGCTCAAGTGTCATGAAAGAAACAACAGATTCTCCTAATCAGAAGTACATTTTTTTAATAGAGGAAGCAATTTTTAACAGAAAAAAATAGGAGTGCATTAACAAATGTTTCCCTTCCCCCATTTTTTTTCTTCCCTTCTCAACAGTTGCACAATGTAAGGCAAAAGTCTGCAAAAAGAATCACATGTTGAAATATAAGATGTACAATAATACTCCTTTCAGGGTGATGTCATCTCATACTTTCTAAGAGGCACAGACAAAGGCAAATGTGAAACTCACCATAACCAACAGAGCTCAGGAGCAAGAGCAGAAGCATAAACAACATTATCTTCTTCAACACTAGATAGCTCCTAAAACCCAAACAACAGAAGAGAGAGAACAAACTGTTAATACAAGGCAAAATCAAGCATTATAAGCAAAACAGTGCTGCCTCAGCTTGCCAATGAAAATAGAACATGTGATGTGAACCTCAATGAAATGAAGTTTACACCCCAACTTCATATTACATTATTGGCATGATGACATCATATCAAATATAACTGCTGCAGTTAACATTGGAAAGTAATCAAAATAGATAGACCTGGTTCACATATTGTACTGTGTTGTTTACTTAACCACAAACTTATAATATACTAAAATATAAGCCACAGATGACTAATTATAATAGCTAGGTTCATCCAACCAGCTAAGCCAATGTGCAATGTTTTTATGAAACTAGTCTGCTTGTGTTTTTTTGACTTAATGTGTTGGGTAGATTGAGCTATTGTAGTATAGTTTGTAAACTGCATGGAATATGGTTTAGTATTGTATGAATCCAGTTATTCTTAGTTTATTGAATGGTGAAAAAATATTTAGAAAAATGTGTAAACCCAATCATCAACCACAGTAGAGTTGGGCCATTTCAAACTTTTAAGTCCATCCTACAACTCTTAAGCATCTGTATTGGATTGTGCATATGATAAGTGTCTAGTTGGTTAGATAGTTATTAATGAAAGACGGCTGTAGCAGAAAAACACACACACATTCTAAATGCTGATGAATTTGGGGATACTCTAAGCTGTGCACCTGCAGGAATTTCTTCTATTTCCCCCACCCCCTTTCAGTTACTTTTCCAGTCCATCCAGGAACCAGTTAACCACATCCTTTTATATTTCAAATTCTATTCTCACTAACCGTGTTAAAATGAAGACATCCAGGAGAGAGGCTGTAGTTGTTAGACGATACCACATGGTCCCCATCCACCAGTATAGCAAACCAAAGAACCGTCCTGCAAAAAAAAACAACAACCCAGAACAGCTTTTAAAAGAGTATCTGCTCAGCTTTCTTTCCATCTCTTCCCTTCCTCTACAACAGAATTTCTCAGAAGCCTTATTTCCACATTCAATAGCATAAATGATGGTTTACCAAAACCCACAAGATATTATTAATTACACATATTGTATATATGCCCCTTGACTCCCAATGTCTCTGGACAGTTTAAAAATTATTCAAAATATTAAATAATTTTTTTCCAAGTTGAATTGCATTCTTGGACAAATTAATCTCAAAGAATAAATCTGAAGAATTAGAATTTCTCCAGATGCTTGATTCTAAGCCTCTGGCTATCTCTTAATATAATTCTCTATATCCCTTCCAAATGAACATTTTCAGCATTATTTTGAAGAAGTCCATATCAGATAAGTTAGTACTGAAAATGCAGTACAGAGACATAAACACAGCTATATAGCTTCCTTTTTAACATGTGTAATAACTAATCAGATTTCTAAAAACTTATTTCCATTTACCTGGGGCTAAAAGCACCAACCAAATGAAGGACCCTACTTTGGAGAGGACACTCTTGAACCCAAAATTGGATGTATTCTGGTCCATGGAAGAACCACCTGCAAGAAGCAGAAGATAGTTTTGTCAGCTAACAAGTCATCATTGATTTTCTTTTTTCTTTTTCTTTCTGTTTTGTCTGCCCCAGTTTGATAATAGCCCACATCCACCTTACCCTAAGCTTAACAACAGGTAAAGGTGGTCTTAAGGTAGCGATTTCTCCCACATCCTACCTAAAAAGCATTGTATGCAGTTAATAGAGGACACAGCTGATGCATACTCCACGTTCTGTGGCAAGAATGAAGGCAAATCTATGTGTCCCAGGATAACGTTGCAGGGTCCAATCTGGGTCAGTCACTAGAACCAGAGATGTAGTCTTCCAAGCTTTCAGACTCATACTGGAGCCCATCCTCAGGGAACTTTGTGTACTTTTGTCTATTCGGTGTGTGGTATAAATATAAATCTATATAAATACCACACACCAAATAGACCAAAGCATATTTTCTGCTAGAGAGAAGTTCCCTGAGGATGGACTCCAGCATGAGTCTGAAAGCGCAGAAGACTAAATCTCTGGTTCTGGTGATTGAGCCAGATTGGATTCTGTGGTAAGAATCTTGTAACCCAGGAATTAGTCAAATTGGATCCAGTGGTTTCCTCCAGTTACTTTATCTATCTAAAACAGAAATAAAATATTAACAGCTGTACTGTTTTGGTGGCCAAGTTTGTCTGACTTATGAAAGCAGGCTTCAGCCATGATTGTTAATCTTTCCTCTGTCTAAATTAAGTTCATCTTCTGCCAACTGTATGGAGATGGTAACTATTGACTACTCTCTCTGCTTTACCAATCTGCAGATCAGTTTTGCAACAGCTGTTTTTTAAAGAACAAACTGAAAAATATTATAACTTCCTTATTTTTATAAAAAAAAAGTAACAGACAAGCATCTTCCTCTGTGATGAGTGGAATAACAAGGACCTGTGATGAAACCAGCAATCAGGCTTTAAGTATGCACATCCTTAAGGAAAACTTCAATATGTGCAGGTCAAGGAGTTCATCAGGCCTTTTGTTAGCTGATGGTTTACTTTAGTATACCAAGCCAATCAGTTTTGGCTGTAAATGATGTTAACAAATTATTTCCCCAATGTTTTTCCTCCAGGAGCCTCGTCTGATTGCTTAGGGTCACAGAACTTCCCAATACCTGTGTAGTCATCCTCAGAGGAATAACCAGATGAAGAACCATAGGTGTCATATGTCTTCTTGTCTCCTAATCCATTGATTTTCTTATTGGACTCGATGCCCCCTATACCTCTTCTCCTTCTCGATGAAAGATCCTCACCTGACCACAAATTACAACATTTATTTTAGAAATAAACTCAATCTTTTTTTTATACATTTCCTACCAAAAGCTTGTATGAAACTAGATACTATCATCTTTAGACAAGCTCAAATAAAGCATATCATTTAGTGAAAATTGCAGGAGAGTTTAAATATTATCTTCCTTGTGCCTTGAGTATATTTTTGGAATTCTACCACACACCCCTTCATGTTCATATTTAATAATTGTTGTTGATGCAGGTGATGGATTACATCACCATGAAGAACTGCAATATTTTATATTAATTGATTAGATGTTTGAGAATTCCACTAACCAGCTTCCCTAGAATAGTCTTTCTTTGCTGGATTTTCAGCATGTGTCCCAATCCAATTCTCCCTCAGTTGTCTTTAATACTGCCTTGCATTCGAAACCCTACCAACTAATCCAGAGAAGACTACGCATGGCCTTTCAGGTATTGCTGTACTTCTAACTTTCATCATCCAGAACAATATTCCAAAATCATTTGGCTGATATCCATTGCATCAATTGAAAAAAATGATACAATGTCAAAAATATATTGACAGCATACAACAAATAAAGATTAAATGAACTCTCTGAACCATTCTGTATAAATAGTGTAAGTCACAACAAAGGACCCTTAGAGATCCCAAAGACTAACAAATTTACTCCAAATGTTATCTTCCAAGAGCATCAAATTGGAAATAGGTTCATGTAGGCCAGGTGATGCAGAAGAATATTCTAACTTGGGTATGAATTATGCTAACTACAGGCCAGGGTTAATTGAAAGATTAGGTAACATGTGAAAAACAATTGGGGATTTGTACAGTGACTATGCAGAGCCAATAAGAATAAAAAGCTTTTGTGGTCCTACAGATGTTGCAGATGCCAATTCTCATTAGTCCCAAGTGGAATTGCTAGTCTAGTTCAAAAACATCTGAAGGGCTAATTTGTTGCTTTGCAGCTTATTTTAAATTCTCCCAAGCAAGTACCATCCATATATTCTAGAATATACAAACTACAGAACATTTCAGAGAAATACTTACTCCAATAAGAACTGCTTTCCAATGGCTCATCAAAGGCCACATTAGTTTTAAGAGAAAATCCTCTGTCATCAGTTAGATAAGACTCATTAATGACAGACTCACTGTAGTAGGCGGTAGTATGGGGAGCAGAACTGATCCCTAGACTAGGTATAGGAGACAGACGTTTCACACTACTTGGTTTCTTTCTCAGGGTTCGACTGCAGGAGAAGAAACAAATGGCATATTGATAAGACAGTACATAGTTAGATGAAGAACATAAAAATGCATTTGTACACACATGCATAAGTGCTCTTATTTAGAAATAACACTAATAAATTCCTACCATTTAATAGAATTCACATCCTAACAATAGAATCGAATGGGAAAGAGATAAGAAAGGAGAAAAGCAATCTTTTCCTAAGGATATTGCAAGTTGGAACTTGATCACGCTAAATAAGTGGTAAAATATATTTGGTACAAGGTTCAAATATACTGGGATTTCTGGAAGTTGTCATCCCATTGCATGTAAATGAGACTGTACTGGAAAAGGTTACAGTGATGTAACAACTGCATCTTTCATTACCTAATGAGTTCTAACCTAATTTCCTTTTCGTCTGCTTTGTATTTTGCCTTGTTTAATACCAAAGTTGTAAGAATGTCTGTCAGTTCATCCTAACTGCCTATTGGGGATGGGTGGGGCTATATGTTTCCACATAGCCACGTGCAACTTCATTTACGGAACAGAACAATTGCAATAGGTTGGGCAAATGAGGCCATTTCCCTGTCCACAAACACTTTACAGCAAATTTCCCAGCTGGGTCCCTCCAAATACGTTGAGACCAAAATTCCCAACAAGCATGGCCAGGAGAGATGCTGTTCCAGTTCATCCAGAAGACCTCAATTTAGGAAACACTGCTCTATATTATAGCTAGGAGCTCAAGAACTAGTCCGTGAGGTGTTTATGACATATTGAATACAGGAGGAAACCAGAACTATCCAAAAACCTTGCTTTGCAGAGAATTTAAAAAAGCATGCAGTTTGCTCCTGTGATGAACTGAAATAAGAACTTGGGTTGAATCAGTTGATGACATTTCCAGTAGCCATCATGCACCATGCTATAATAATGACTTGAACTGTAGTAATATGTGTCTGCCAATTATTAATTTATTACACTATTCAGTCCTTGAGTGGAGCCAGAACACAAGGATATAAGCTGTTGTGCCTCCTTATTTCTGGATGTGAATGCAGAGTTGACTGTTAGGATAGCAAGCAAAGCCTTGGCTCAACTTATACACCAAAAATACTACACAGTATTTCTTTCTAGGAATGCATCTTTAATGATTTCACATTTCATAAACAGTAGTATACCTGGTTTGTGGTTATCTTGTTTTCTTATTAATTGTAAAGCCATTGTTTTGTATTTGGGGTTTTCTTCTATGTAGCTCCACGCTCAGTTCCATTTGAACAACATTCTACATAAGATTTATGTAATGTTGCAGTTCCTGCTCTTTGCAAGAGACCAATGACTCATTGTAACCTGCTAGCTTTGGAATTAATAAAACAATCCTTTGGATGCTCTCCAAACATTGGCACTTTTGGGGTGGATTTTGTACCACACTCCAAGAGAGAAGAGAATAAAATAGCACAAGCAGCTTTTTCTGAGTATAACATTTTTCTTTGAAGTTCATGCGTATGGAGGAAGTGGGAGTAATACAGACAGATGGTAACATCCTTTTTATCTACCAACACTTCTTTAACCAAGCGGAGGCAACGCACCAACAGATAGAATACTCGGCCTACTCTCGTTCCTGCCTGCTTATTCTGCAGCAACAATTGCTTTCCGATGTGGTTAGAGCTGTTTATGAAGAAGCAAGAAACAGAGCTGAAGAAGTTAGTACCACTCTGGCAAATCATATCAAAGGGAAATCTTCCCATTAGTGGCAAACAGAAGCCTAAAAGAA